GCAATTTGATTTGATAGCCTGCAGCGTTCCACTTCCCTTGCACCGAACAGCTTACAACATAATACAGCTATTTTACCGGCTCCCCCCCATTCAGGAGCTTTTCAGACGCAAAATAAGAGAGAAAGCGTTCCGCACAGCTGGTCCCACAAGCTCTCAAAATCACGTGAGAATTACAACAGCACGCGTGATCTCAGAAGCATGTCTGCAAGAAAGATCTGGTTTATTTTCAGTTCTGTTTACCTCGGCTGCTGAGGTTTCACAGGAAATGATGTGCGTACTAGTTCAGCAACTGGAAAGCTGCCGGTGACTTTTACTTTGAAAGTTTACAGATGTTTTACGCTACATTTGTGCTTGACTTCCTGTCTGGCCTGATCTGAACTACAGAGTTTTAAATTTATTTAAAATAAAGACTCAAAACGTGAGCAGCTCATGCCTCTGGGACGAACGCGTCTAAAACTTTACGCTTCAACTATAATGGAGGTTTCTGTACGCTTCAGTGTGCTTCACGGCTGTTTTGCGAGGGCTTAGACATCCACTTACGTACAGATGTCAGTCACAGTATGTGCACCAACAACAGCTTAGCTGGACCAGATAGGATGGGTCCTTCAAAAGACACAGTCCCTGAATCGTGTTGCTGCTAAGATTTAACGCTTACGCTTGGGCAGTCGGTACACCTCTGTCCCGTACTGAACACAGATACGCGTTCTGTTACACTTTAGGTTATTAGTCCAATCCCATGTAGGTCTTTTACAAATCTGTCCACGACCAGTATTGAAAAGATCCTTAAAATATGTATTTAGTAGAAAGGACAATCTACAACTGACACTTGTTATATTATAGCTAATTAGTTTTTAAGCTCAAAGGTGGTTATTTATGGGTTTTCTTGCTTTAAGGGGCGATGGTGGCACAGGAGTTAAGTGCTCGCCCCATAATGAGAAGGTTGAAGGTTTGAGCCCCGCTCAGGCTGTCGTTGTGTCCTTAGGCAAGACACTTAACCCTCCTTGCCTGCTGCTGGTGGTCGGAGGGACCGGTGTGCGGCAGACTCGACTGTCAGTGCGCCACAGGGCAGCTGTAGGGTGTGAATGTGTGTGTGAATGGGTGAATCACTGATTGTGTTGTAAAGCGCCTTGGGGGGTTCCAGGACTGCAGAATACTCAAATACTGGCTATTAACCATTTTATCAGAGTTTTTAAATAATTCTCTTAGTGTGTCTTTCTCACAGTAATAGAAATATTATCCTTAGTCATAATGCACGTGTGTGTGTGTGTGCGTGCGCTTTCATGTTCGTGCATGTGTGTGTGCGCATGTGTGTGTGTGTGTGTGTGTCTGTGAGTATCGATGTGTATTTGTTTATTTGTGTATGCGCATGTGTGTGTGTGTTTGTGTGTGTGTATGTGTGTCTGTGAGTATCTATGTGTATTTGTTTATTTGTGTATGCGCATGTGTGTGTGTGTATGTGTGTCTGTGAGCATCTATGTGTGTTCGTTTATGTGTGTATGCGCATGTGCATGTGTGCGTGCATGCGTGTGTGTGTGTGTGTGTCTGTGAACATGTGTGTTCGTGCATGTGTGTGCGCATGTGTGTGTGTGTGTCTGTGAGCTTCTATGTGTGTTTGTTTATGTGTGTATGCGCATGTGCGTGTGTGCACGCCCCCCTGCCTGGTGGTCTTCAGATACCAGCCAATGTTGAACACAGAAGGGAAACGGGAACCGTTTACACTTTTACTGTTGTCTGTTTCTCTTTACCAAAAATTAAAGATTAGATATTGTGATTTTTTTAGATAATGTGAAAGACTAAGTCTAATAATAACCGTCAGCATCTTAAACAGTCTGAACGGTGTGTGTTCTTGTGTGCACTGGCGCTGTGGCCACAATCAGTGTTTTTTTTAATACTTTTTCCAAATTCATGGTGTGAAACTCCTTAATAATGTCCTGGTTGACCATGATATTTTGAACTTATCAGATGACTAAATGTCTTGCAAACAGCTGTTTGGTGCTTTACACACCACTAGAGTTACAGTATGAGTCACTGTCTGGCCTGTTGTACGCTGACACAACTAACGTACCATTATGGAAGATCTAAGCTCTTAATCTGATGGGTTTGTTCATCCTATGGATCACCGAGAGCCAACCACTATTTCTTAGGTGTGTTTGATGATGAAATAAGAAAATGTGGTGGAATCAAAAATGAAATCTTCCACCTACACGTAAACGGAGTTATTTGTCCATCAGTGGCTAATTTTTGCCCTTTAATTAAGCGATCGGTCTTAATCAGGTTGGATGGCATTATCTCACTGGACTAGTGAGAGAGCTTTGCACAGATATTAGGCTGCAGAAGTAGGAAGAGTAGGGCTGCGTTCCACTCCTGCCACATACTGCTCTGTAAAATTAAAACAAAATTTGCTGTAAATGGAATGCAGCCTGCCTTGATTCAAGTTAAAATGTGAAAAGGCTCTATTTCAGATTGCCATGCTGCCAACCCCACCCCAGAGAGGCTCTTTTGGACTCTGAAACTAAATTGAGTCTCCAAAATCAAGACTAATCAGGCCGGTTTTGTTTAATAACGGAGACACGGTGGACTTTTGCCCCGCCCACAGGCTTGGAGATGTGCTCATGACATCACAAAGAAAGAAAACAATCTTTTCTGTAGCGCCTCTCAAGATAAAAATCATGAGGTGCTTCACAAAAACAAAACACAAAAATTAAAGAAGAAAAAAATTTCTAAAATGATTAAAAGTGTGTTTAACTAGAGAAAGGGAGAGAGAGAATTAATAGGAAAGAGGGAAATCAGTGGATCCCGGGAAAGGTGGAATAAGAGCAGAATAAGGAGAAGGTGATGAAAGTCACACCAAAGCCTGAACAGGTGATTTTAAAGGAGACCACTGAGTCCACTGATCTCAGGCTCAGGGGGAGAGAGGTCCAGAGTCTGGGGGCCACAGCAGCAGATGATCTGTCACCTTTGACCTTTAGCCTGGTGCTGCACAACCAGTAGGCTTTGGTCACTGGACCTTAGGGACCTGCTGGAGGTGTAGGGACTGAGAAGATCACCAATGTTTGGTGGTGCTTGTCCATGTAAGGCCCTATAGACCTGGGGCCTCATTTATCAAGCTTGTGTGTCCAGGGAGTGGCCTGGGCTAGCACATGCCACCCCACTGAGACCCATTTAAAATGACTTGTCCACAAAAGGCTTGGGGGTGAAAACCCCAAACAGCAGGTGGCAGTATGCCTGTTTAACATCGGCTTCTAGCCCCGACCAACGGAATATTTCTGTATTATCATTAGTTTTTCATATTGACATTAATAGTATTTAGAGTCCCAGTCCCACCTGTACCGGGTCGGCCCGGGCCGGGTAGCGTAGGTTGTTTACATATCTGGGTGGCCTGGAATTTTCCCGGGCCAACCAAGGCTCATTCTCGGCCCTCTTCTCGAGGGGGTCTGCTTCAGGCCGACCAGGGCCAACACGCCCACTGCTGACAGCAAATTCACACCTTCCATTCGAGCAAGCCTCTGATTGGTGGGTATAGAATCAGCCCACATGGGCTTAAGGCAAGGATGTGTGGAATCAACCGGGCCAGGCTGGGGCCGACTGGGGCTACCCGGCCCGGGCCGACCCGGTACAGGTGGGAATGGCCCACTAGAGTCCCAGTCCCACTCTTCTCCACCCCAGTTGGTGGCATTAATGGACCAAGTAGTGTCTGGCTAATGACCACCAAACAGCTCAAAGACAAGGAAGATGATGATGATGAAGAAGAGTAGAGATAAAAAGGCGATGGCACAATGTGGAACACACTAAATCACTGGAATGCGAAGAAAAAGCAAAACCACTGGTGCCACCAATGCATTAACAAGTGCCCCACCAGGGCCACCCCATGGACATGCCACTGGATCAAAGTGTTTCTTTACTTTAGACCAGGACCAGCATGATTTAGTCTTTTCCCAGCTTCTCCACACCTGGTTTTACTCTGCAGGTGATTAACAGGCTTCTGGAGAGCTTGATGAGCTGTTTAACAGTGCCGGAGCAGAGAAACCACTAAAACATGCAGGATACCCTCCCTCGAGGACCAGGGTTCCCCGTCCCTGGTCCAACTTAACCCTGGAAGAGCCAGAGCTCCTGTTGCTCCAAATGAACAAAAACTGCTAAAATAAACATATTTCTTGTTTTTCTCGTTGTTGAAGTTAAAGGATCAAATCTGGTGGATCCTGTTTATCTAATGCTTCCTAACAGAGTTATGCAAGCCATTCTGCAGGCCTTTTGTTTATTATAAATAAGGCCCCTTTGTTACTGGGAATCAGATCCGTTCCAGTTTTAATGGGACACAAAACCAGAATGAGTCCCAATTAAAACAACATCAGTAGAAAATGGTCCAAGTTGGTTGGAACAAAGCAGCGAGTGATTGAAATGATGTGATGACAATATTCTGATTCATAAAAATCATCACCTCACACTGCCAGCTCCACCATCGAGCCCGGAAATCTCACCACACGGTTCCAGCACACACACACACACACACACACACACACACACACACACACACACACACACACACACACACACACACACACACACACACACACACACACACACACACACACACACACACACACACACACACACACACCCCTCGCTGTGATAATCCATCATCCACACCAACACACAACAGGGTCTTTGTCAGCTTTCCTTCACAGATGTACACATGATTGTACACAATTAGTGATCCAGGCTCGGGTTTGGCAGAGACAGGTCAACGGGGGTTGCTTTCATTCCTGTCCGTAGCTCAGACTAAATGAAATTACTGTAATCCAGCTTGACCCGAGAGACGAGGAAATGCTGTTTGTTTCATCCCTCCTAGAAATCACTCCCACCCCTTTTTTATTTCTGGTTGGTCCCTTTTTCTCATCTAATCTGAGCTATTCAATGACTGAGTCTTGTTTTGTTTGAGGTCGAGTAAACATTCAACGCGTGGCGATTTTCTGATGAAAGTGTATTTCTGATGTGTTTAGATGACATCCTGCAGAAGGAGGACGGCCCTCTGTGTGCGGCTGAAATTGGCTCCGAGCTCCAGAAACAGTTTGCCATCCTGCCAGGTTGGTTTGATTTATCCCTGCGTGCACTAATCAATTTAAATAAATAAACAAAGCAACTGAAATGTAAACAAACATCTCATTCATGTCGTCCATTACGGTTTAGATGCACCCAAATGATCTAATTGTGGGAACTGGCTCTTTAATGCAAGACAAGGAAGTGATGTAGACACTTTTTACTGATATCCACCCATCCACTCCCACTTATCTGGGATCGGGTCGCGGGGGCAGCAGCCTGAGCCGAGAGGCCCAGACTTCCCTCTCCCCAGCCACTTGGGCCAGCTCTTCTGGGTAATCCTAAGGCTTTCCCTGGCCAGCTGACAGATAGTCCCTCCATCGTGTCCTGGGTCTCCCTTAAGCTTTCCTTTATATAGTTATTAAAGGAAAACTAATGGAGACTGCTGGAGACAGGCACCAGCCCCCGCGGCACACAGACTGATATATTTCGCATGCTTATTTCTTTTAATTTTGATGATTATAACTGACAATTAATGAAAATCCCAAATTCAGTATCTCAGAATATTAGAACATTGTGAAAAGGCTCAATATTGAAGAGCCCTGGTGCCACACACTAATCAGCTAATTAACCCAAAACACCTGCAAAAGCCTTTAAATGGTCTCAGTCTAGCGCTGTAGGATACACGATCATGGGAAAGACTGCTGAGTGGACACTTGTCCAAGAGACGACCGTTGACAGCTTTCACAAGGAGGGCAAGACCCAACCGGTCGTTGCTAAAGAGGCCGACTTATGGGGAGATAAAAGTTTCAAAAGATCTGTGCGTGTGTATCTAGATTTGTGTGTGTGTATCTAGATTTGTGTGTGTGTATCTAGATTTGTGTGTGTGTATCTAGATTTGTAACTTGTGTTGCACATACAAGTCATTGAGTACACAAACACAAATCACCTGGTAAACATGAACAAAACTACATTCCACACAAATCAGTTTCAAGTACAAAAATCCTTTTGAGACTATTTTCTCACCTGACTGATTTGTGCGTACGCGGTCATTTGAATGTTGGGTGGAAGCTGGGAAATTTGAATTTTCTTTGGATTTAGTCTAAATTTGTGTTGATGGGGCAAATATGTTTTTCTGTGGAGAAAGAGTATCTCAGGATCCTGTAGTTGTAAAAGATAAACCAACATTTAATTTTTTATCACCTAAAATTAGTTTCTTTAGACATTTTATGAGCCATGAAAACGTAGTCAAAGGTTTAAAAGAAATGACTAATAAATGGCAGAGTGATTCTCTGACTGGAAAAAGCAGGCTTCAAACCAGGAGAAGGCACAAGAAGATGGTGCAGCGTCCAGGTGATCTTTCCTCTGAAGTAAGTAAAAGTTAATCCAGCATGTTCTGCAGTCAGGTTATAATGAGACCGCTATGATTTTAGACCATTTCAGACGTTTTATAGGTCTGAAAGATTGGCACACTGTCCCCAGACAAGGAAGTGGCTCTTGGGCCAGTTTATGTGTGTGCACAGTGATGAAAACTATTTAAATAAAAACTAATGATGGGTGTTTCGACCACGCCAGTCACAGAATTATGGTGGCTCTTTCCTGCTGAAGGAAGGATTTGAAGTTCGCTGAACTTTGACTTGTACTTTATTTCGAACTAACGTAAAAAAAGCATTTTTTTATACAACACAACTCGACAAAAACAATCAAATAGTAAAGTCAGAACTTACAGCCATTTTCCCTCCATTTTTCTCTGTTCCTGGTTCGATGACGTCACTTTCGTGAAGCGCATTTGTACTCCTGGACTTATTTTCACACTAAACCTAAAATAGTGTTTCCCCTGTTCGAAAAATAAGCGAGTTCTTGATATCAAAATGTGTCTAAAATTCACGGACATCATGTGTGAAATCCATGGCACAAAACAAGTGGAGTTAGAAAAGAGCATTTTAGCACCATTGACTTGCATTCATTTTTTTCATTCTTCCGGGGTCCGAAAGTAGATGGGTGCGACTTAGGCGCCCTATGACGCTGTGCCATCTTCTAGTGCCTTCTCTCCTTTTGAACCCTGCTTTTTTCCAGTCAGAGAATTACTCTGCCATTTATTAGTCATTTCTTATAACCCTTTCACTATGTTTTCATGGCTCACAAACACATATGTTTAAATAAACAAATTTAGATGATCAAAAATTGAAATGTTGGTCTATCTTTTATAACTACAGGATCCTGAGATACTAAATTTTTCCACTGAAAAACATATTTGTCCCATCAACACAAGTTTAAACTAAATCCAAAGGAAATTTGGATATCCCAGCTTCCACCGAGCATTCAAACGCACCAGGTGCGCACAAGTCAGTCAGGTGTGAAAATAGTCTCAAAAGGATTTTTGTACTTGTAAATTGATCTGTGTGTAATGTAGTTTTGTTCGTGTTTACCAGGTGATTTGTGTGTGTTTATTCAATGATTTGTATGTGTAAGAACTGAAGTTACACACGAAAATGTAAACACAAGTTACAAATCAAGAGTTACACACACAAATCTAGATACACACACACACACAAATATAGACACACATGCACAAATTTAGATACCTACACACAGATCTTTTGAAACTTTTTTCTCCCCATACCAGCTGTTTACAGAGCTCTGAGTCCAAGCACATTAACAGAGAGGAGAAGGGAAGGACTAGATGTGGTAGAAAAAAGTGTACAAGCAGTACTGATGACCCCACCCTGGAGAGGATTGTGAAACAAAAGCCATTCAAAGATGTGGAGGAGATTCACAGAGTGGACTGCAGCTAGAGTCCGTGCTTCAAGAACCACCACCCACAGACGTATGCAAGACCTGGTTTCAGCTGCAGCTCCCTTGTGTCAGGCCCCTCTTGGACGAGAGACAGTGTCAGAAGTGTCTCACCTGGGCTAAAAACAAAAAGGACTGGACTGCTGCTGAGTGGTCCAAACGTATGATCTCTGATTAAAGTAAATTTTGTATTTCCTTTGGAAATCAACGTCCCAGAGTCTGGAGGAAGAGAGCAGAGAGCCACGTTGAGGTCCAGCGTACTAATGGAAATCTGAAAATCAGTATCTCTGTTGTTGCTTATCAGAGAAATGTTTATTTATTCATATGCCAAAGCTAGTCAATAGGAGTAGTAATAGTAATGTCAACATTTAAATGAGTCAGTTTGATAATCCTTAGATAATCCTGGTAGTTCTCATGAGAGTAAGACAGAATATTTTATCTGGCTGTCCAGTTCATCAGAAGATCCTCAACCACAGGTTCACCTGGTTGTCATGCTGACCTGTCTTTGAACTCCTGACCTCTGTGTCTGCAGGCGGCCGCGGGATGAATGGCAGTCCTATCATTGTCCTCCCAGAGTTCCCAGCGTTTGGCGAGGTGGGAGAAGAGGAGGTCCAAAATGTGCTCCGCTACCTCACAAGCATCCCCAGGTAGAGTCCCAGCTGCTTGTTTCCGTCAGGACTGTGTAGGGATGATCTGTAATTCCGCTTGGTGCCAACAGATGTCACTACAACCTAAATGCCAGGATGTCAAAGGTTCAAATAGGTTTAAAAAATCAGAAAACTCATCTTTTGGTCTGAGATCATCTTACTGTCCTGATTTTAAATGAGTTAGTGGAGGAGTTTTTCATTATTTTTGTGAAATTAAACCTAGTAGAATCCCATTTAAGAGGATTTTCTATGAAATTGTGGATTTATCATCGTTTTCTTTTATGTTGCATGTTCTCATCGTTTTCTGTCAGACGATAAAGGGTTGCGTAAGCATCAGTTCCTTATAGATACGGCTGGCGTTGGTTTTTTGTCTGTGTCTCATCACCCTCCAAGGCCCCTCCCTCTCTCCTCACCACACACTTGCATCTGATGCCAGTTGGTTGAACTCTGAGTGCTGATTGGCTGAGGAGGGAGCAGCAGGCTGCAGCTCTCGGCTGTGACTGGCTGCATGCAGCAGCCGGCTGGTGGAGGAGAAGAAGAGAGGGAGGAGGATAAGGAGGAGGGAGATGGTGTTCGAGGATGGGAACGATCACATCTCTCCATCCGCGAGCCGACAACAGTGGATGAGCTCAGAATAAACAGGATTAAGGGAAGACCGGATGATAACAATGGATGCTTGAAGATATTTTCTGATTGTTTTCGTCATTTTAATTCTTCTTTCATCTGATTTGGATTTTTGAAACAGTAGAAATGGACTGAGGATTTGCTGTGGCTGCATTTACTTGGTACAGCCTCCTGGTGTGTGTGTGTGTGTGTGTGTGTGTGTGTGTGTGTGTGTGTGTGTGTGTGTGTGTGTGTGTGTGTGTGTGTGTGTGTGTGTGTGTGTGTGTGTGTGTGTGTGTGTGTGTGTGTGTGTGTGTGTGTGTGTGTGTGTGCTTTAATATTCAGCCTTATTAAATGTGTGTCAAGGTGTCAGGATGCATGTCAGTTTGTTCAACAGGACCTTTACAGAAACACACACACACACACACACACACACACACACACACACACACACACACACACACACACACACACACACACACGGACATTAGCTTAATGAGGCAGCTACATATGGCTCTGCTTGTGGAACACACACATGCGCGCACGTGCACACACACACACACACACACACACACACACACACACACACACACACAGGCATTAATGCAGTGCCAAGGTTGCCATGGCAATCAGAAGGGCCTGATGACTGCAGGCGCGGTTTGAACCCTATTTGAGCTTCTGGAGGGCTACTGAAACCCGACAACATGTCCTCCTCACGTCTTTGATTTTTATTTGTTTAAAATGCTTAAAAAACCAGAAATCCTCTGAAAGTTGCATGGAAAGATTTTAAATGAGCAACAGTCATTATGTCTGTTATGCAATTCCGATTTGCTCCAGTACATTTGAGCCACTGCAGCTCACACACACTGACACACACAAGTAAACCTGCAACATGTTAAGGGTTTGGACATCCTGTCAGAGCTCAGACAGCACACACACACACACCCTGTCCTTATCTAACAGACACACTGATGCAGCTTTCTGCGGTGATAACGCTGCATGTTTCTCTCCTGCAGCGCCACAGCATCAGGACTGGGCTTCATCCTGATCGTCGACAGGCGGCTGGACCGATGGGCTGCCGTCAGAGCCACCCTGCTCCGCATCGCAGTAAGAGTCCATCCTGTTTCACCTAGAGAGAGAAAATGTGTTGAGGAGCTGTTTGCTTGTGGGTCGTTTGCTGATGAAGCATCTCTCACGACCACAAATGGGTGTTTTTGCAGTGTGCACATGAGATAATTCTGGTTTGAACATGGATCGGTGGGTGTAGCTGCTGCTGTCAGGTATAATTTGGTGTGTCACTGCTGACAATAATAAATGTTTTTCTGGATTGAGATCGCACTGTTCCTGCCTCGCTGAATGCCATGTAGTTGGGAAACCTCTGTGTGTCATTTGGAGGCTGAAATGAGGAGTTAAAAATAGCATATTGTGTGTGTGTGTGTGTGTGTGTGTGTGTGTGTGTGTGTGTGTGTGTGTGTGTGTGTGTGTGTGTGTGTGACATAATCCACACATTCTTGAATATTTGAGTCTTTTTTGTCCCCGTGCTCTCGGCCTACCTCACTAGGAGCGTCTATTTGAAAACCCAAGTATACCTGCTGCTGATAAGTTCACGAGGTCTTCTTCTTCCCTACCTTTTTGGTATTTTTGTGACTTGGAAAGATCCCAGGTCTGGATAGGAAGCTGTCCATAAAAGGAGGTTTTATCCTGATGTAATAACACAAGATCTTATCTGAAATTAGTTTTATGTTTAACTCCAGAACCTGTGTTTACTATTCTGAATTACCGGTAGTGAGCCCTGATGCCTTCCCAATCTGCAGGACACACCATAATACAACAATACAACAACCATCATAATAAATTTGGAAAAATTTTGGAATAGCAGGTTGATTGCTGATTGGCTGCACCTGGCGGTAAGGCGTTTCCTGTTTCCTGTTTTCAGTGTTGCACTACGTGTAGCTGTTTGGAGTCTGGGGCTCGCTAAAACTGATTTAATTTCTCTGTACTAGGATATCTCTGAGTTATTGTAGCACATAAGCACGCTAAAACACACATTTTGGGTGGTAGCGCCCTGGAGTGGGCTGCGAACTATTTTGAAGGTCGTACAATCAGGACTGTGCCTTTCTGGGACTTTGACAAGAACTTGCTTCTCACCTTTGGCCGTGACCCTCCTCCACCAGTCGCACCTGCCACCTCCTCCATATCTCCTCCATCTGCTCCAAAACTCCAGTCCCGTCCTGCTCCTGTACAATCTGTCAGAACCGGCGTCATCTCCTTCTCCCCTGAACCGGTTGGCGCCGTCTCAGCTCCTCTGATGGGCCAAACCACCACACCCTCACCTGGTTCCGACAACGCTGCCTCATCATTCCTGGTGGGTTGTGATTCCTCCCCATCTTCTGTTTCTGCCAGCGCCATCTCCACCTGTTCCAGACGTTGCGGCCGCATCCTCTCCGATGGGCTACCATTCCCCCTCCTCTGTTTCGGCCAGCATCGTCTCCTCACCTCCGATGAGCCAAAAGCCCCCACGTCGACGACGCCGCAGCCATCGTACCCCGGCGGTGGTCCCGGAGGGCGCACCGCATCCTGTCTCGGCGGTGGCTCCGGAGGGCGCGCCGCATCCTGCTTCGGCGGTGGCCCCGGAGGACGCGGTGGTGGCTCCGGAGGACGCGCCGCATCCTGCTTCGGCGGTGGCCCCGGAGGGCGCGCCGCATCCTGTCTCGGCGGTGGCCCCGGAGGACGCGCCGCATCCTGTCTCGGCGGTGGCCCCGGAGGACGCGCCGCATCCTGTCTCGGCGGTGGCCCCGGAGGACGCGCCGCATCCTGTCTCGGCGGTGGCCCCGGAGGACGCGCCGCATCCTGTCTCGGCGGTGGCCCCGGAGGACGCGCCGCATCCTGTCTCGGCGGTGGCTCCAGAGGGCGCGCCGCATCCTGCTTCGGCGGTGGCTCCGGAGGGCGCGCCGCATCCTGCTTCGGCCGTGGCCCCGGAGGACGCGCCACATCCTGTCTCTGCGGTGGTCCCGGAGGATGCATCGCATCCAGACCAGCTCTTCCACGAGGCTCCGGTCCAGCCTTTCTAAGAGGCTCCGGTCCAGCCCGTCCAAGAGGCTCCATGTGTGTGTGTGTGTGTGTGTGTGTGTGTGTGTGTGTGTGTGTGTGTGTGTGTGTGTGTGTGTGTGTGTGTGTGTGTGTGTGTGTGTGTGTGTGTGTGTGTGTGTGTGTGTGTGTGTGTGTGTGTGTGTGTGTGTGTGCGTGCGTGCGTGCGTGTGTGCGCGCCTGCTCTGTCTTCTCCATCCCCAGTGAGTCGTGGAGGATGGCTGCTTATACTGAGCCAGGATTCTCTGGAGGTTTCTTCCTGTTAAAAGGGAGTTTTCCTCTCCACTGTCACTTTATGCTTGTTTAGTATGAGGATTGCTGTAAAGTCACTGACACTTGATGCAATTTGCTGGGTTCCTTATATAGGAAACTTTATTTCTGATTGGCTTAATGAACTGACCTGAATTGGAATGTTTATTATGTGAAGTGCCTTGAGACGACTCTTGTCGTGATTTGGCGCTATATAAATAAAATTGAATTGAATTGAAAAGCTATGGTGAGTTTTTTATTTAAGTGCACGTGCACCTTTTAAAAGGTCCCTCTGTCTTTACCCTGAGGCCGTGTGCACACACAGCCGGATTTATGCAAAGCCGTCTTGGAAAAAAAAAATTGGTGCTTCCAGAGCATTACGAAGCTCATTCATAGGCATGCCGGGTCTGTAACTGGCAGTAGTGCCCGAAATCTTCAGCATCTTTACAGAAAAACATTCTTTGATGTGAAATATTTAGTTGGTGGAAGAACATACATAGCTTCATCCTTCGCCTGTGGTCTTTTACATAAATCATTAGTTGAGTTTGTACAACACGAGTCGGACATGTGACGTCATAGCATTTGTGTCACAGGCAGTGACGTGAAACCTCAACCCCGGTTATTTACATCCCCAAGCAAAAGTTGACGACGGAGAATTTGCGAAGCTCCACTTTAATCTGAGTTTTTGAAAGAATTGTTTTTGGTGTTGGTAATCTTTACTGTAGCGTGCATGACAGGTCAAACCATAGAAAATATCCTCGTTGTGCGGGATACTTGGCTACATGTGTGCAGGATCTGAGACATGACATTCTGTGAAAATCCTTTCACAATAAGAGCCCCTGAGCAGATGTGCACTCGTTTTTTAACATGTTAGCAGAGGTCTCTAGTATAAATGAACGCCTTGTGAGTCGATCTCTGTGGGGAAAAAAGCCCTGGCACTCCTGTTTAAGGAGTTATAAGTTAGGCAGAGGAAACGGGAGCAGAAGACGACAGGATTTGGTGTCTTACTTCCTGATATCTGGATATTTCACCTCTGATTGGCTAACAGCAACGTGACTCTACTACTGACTCTGTTTGCTTTGTAACGTTGATGTTTTATCTCTACAAACAACTGAAGCCTGAAGGAGTTCTGCCATGTTGCTAACGCTAATGGTTAGCTTTTATTAGCCGAGATGTACTCTGCTCGCTCCTGGTTGCTAAATCAGCAGCTGCCCTCTCCATCTTGAGTCAGGATGGGTGAGTCCATGAATGCTAAGTGACAGTGTGATGTAGATCTGTCAGGATTTTGAAATCCTAGAGTTTCACCGTCTGTTTTCTATCAGAAGCTAATGCAGGAGATAGGTGTAGGAGACTATTTTCATGTTCATCCTGCATGTGAAACTCAGAGCGACCCATCAGATTTAAAAAATAACATGTAAAACATGTTCTCAGTGACCTTGGTCTTTAAACATCACTGAAATAATCCTGCCGGCCATCATCTTCCAGTTACATTTACTGGATTATAATACAGCAGGATTTAAACTCTGTTAAAGTTTCTCAACTCAAAGAGGATCATATGATAAATACTGCTGTTGTAACAAAAACATTTTATGTATTATCAGACATAAGAACGAGGATGATTCCACTGAATTATTACCTGCATCGGTTTTGTTTCCTGGCTGAATTGGGCGAATGTGAAATTTGCATAATTGGCGTAGCCTTAATATGTCAGATATTTTGTTTTATTTACTAACTTCCTAAATGTTTAAAAGCGTCATTATCCTGATCCTGAAGGGGTGCAGGATTTGGTAAATGTATACATTTGTACGTTTCTTTTGATTGTTTCCTGTCGTTATTAATCCGATTCAGTCTGGTTAACCGCCTAGACCAGCACACCTTTTGACGCATCTGTTGTCTCCGTCGTGTCTGACACCGATAATCTCGCCCCGTTTCTGCAAATGTGTGCAAATACAGTCAGGTCCATAAATATTGGGACATCGACACAGTGCTAACATTTTTGGCTCTATACACCACCACAATGGATATCAAATGAAACGTACAAGATGTGCTTTAACTGCAGACTGTCAGCTTTTATTTGAGGGTATTTACATCCAAATCAGGTGAACGGTGTAGAAATTACAACAGTTTGCATTTGTGCCTCCCACTTGTTAAGGGACCAAAACTAATGGGACAGAATAAGAACCATAAATCAAACTTATATATTTCAATACTTGGTTGCAAATCCTTTGCAGTCAATTACAGCCTGAAGTCTGGAACACATAGACGTCACCAGACGTTGGGTTTCATCACTGGTGATGCTCTGTCAGGCCTCTACTGCAACAGTCTTCAGTTCCTGCTTGTTCCTGGGGCATTTTCCCTTCAGTTTTGTCTTCAGCAAGTGAAATGCATGCTCAATCGGATTCACATCAGGTGATTGACTTGGCCATTGCAAAACAGTCCACTTGTTTCCCTTCAAAAGCTCTTTGGTTGCTTTTGCGGTATGCTTTGGGTCATTGTCCATCTGCACTGTGAAGCTCCGTCCAATGAGTTCTGAGGCATTTGGCTGAATATGAGCAGATAATATTGCCCAAAACACTTCAGAATTCATCGTGCTGCTTTTGTCAGCAGTCACATCATCAATAAATACAAGAGAACCAGTTCCACTGGCAGCCATACATGCCCACGCCATGACACTTCCAGCACCATGCTTCACTGATGAGGTGGTATGCTGAGGATCATGAGCAGTTCCTTTCCGTCTCCATACTCTTCTCCTCCCATCACTCTGGTACAAG